TAATTCATGTAGTTATTAAGGTACAAATATCATCCATTATAATCAGTTATTCAAGATTTTCATACATGTCTTCATGACAGTCAGTACCTGAACTGTGCAAAAACCTGAAAGGTGAGGCAGCGCCTCATAGAAGAGGGACTGTAAAGTTATATATTTAGCATTTTTAAAGCATTGCTTTTTCATTGTTGTCTGTCCCAAATCCTTACCCTAAATTTACACTGGTGAGAATAATACTTACATTTTTGTATGTTTTTTTCCATGCTGTTTGTTAACCCTCTGGGGTTGACAAATGCACTGATGCATCAAATTAGATGTTTCTCAGTGTTTCTCTCAGTGTCTTTGTGATAAATCAGCACAGAAATCCAGTTTAAACATTTCCTGAATCTGGAATGGAATTCCTTTCCATTCCATCTTATCACGAGATCATACGAGACTCACATCCTGAGTTATGAGCCTATGAAGAGGGGCTGAGATACACGTCATCTGCCTCTTACTGTGTGGAACTGGTGGGTTTGTGTGTCCGTTTACATTCTGTGTGAAACTGACTAATGGACAACATCTTTAATGTGGACATTCTTCAACAGTAGTTTCAGTGAAGCAAAGCTCAGACACCCCTCCTAATAATTGAGTTCAGGTGTTTCAGCCACACTCATTGCTAACAGGTGGATCAAATTAAGCACAAAGCCTTGCAGTCTGGATAGACAAACAATAGCAGTAGAAAAGCTGAGGCAGTAGAAGAGCTCAGTGACTTTAAACATGGCTCTGTCATAAGATGCCACCTCTGCCTCAAGTCAGTTTGTGAAATTTCTGTCCTGCTAGATTTGCTCCAGACAACTGTAAGTGCTATTATTGTGAAATGGAAGCATCTAGGAACAACAACAGCTCAGCCACAAAGTGGTAGACCACGCAAACTCACAGAGTGGGACTGCAGAGTGCTGAAGGGAACAGTGTCTATCCTCTGTTGAATCACCACTAAAGAGTTCCAAATTACCTCTGGAAGCAACATCAGCAAAATAACTGCATGGTAAGAGCTTCAAAAAATAGGTTTTCATGGCTGAGCAGCTGCACACAAGCCTAAGATCAAAATGCACAATGCCAAGCGTCGGATGGAGTGGTGTAAAGCGCCGCCACTGGACTCTGGATCATTGGAAACACACTCTTTGGAGGGACGAATCAGCTTCTTTATCTGTCAGTCTGATAGACGAGTCTGGGTTTGGTGAATGCCAGGAGAACGTTACCTGCCTGACTGCACTGTGCCAGCTGTAAAGTTTGGTGGAGGAGGGACGATGATATGGGGTTGTTTTTCAGGGGTTGATCTAGACCCCTTGGTTCCAGTGAAGGGAAATCTTAATGCTTCAGAAGACCAAGACATTTTGGACAATTCTGTGCTTCCAGCTTTGTGGGAACAGTTTGGGGAAGAACCTTTTCTGTTCCAGCATGACTGAGCCCCAGTGCACAAAGCAGCTCCATAAAGGCATGACTGGGTGAGTTTGGTGTTGAAGAAATTGACTGGCCCTCACAGAACCCTGACCTCAACCCCAACAACACCTTTGGGATGAATTAGAACGGAGATTGAGAGCCAGGCCTCTCGTCCAACATCAGTGTCTGACCAAACTAATGCTCTTCTGGATGAATGGGCAGAAATTCCCACAGTCACTCTCCAAAATCTTGTAGAAGCTTCCCAGAAGAGTGGAAGCTGTTAGGGCTGCAAAGGGGGACCAACTCCATATTAATGCCTATGGATTTAGAATGGGAGTCATAAAAGCTCCTGTATGTGTCCCATTTATATTTCATTACTCTGCTATTCCACCTCAGAAAGGAGGAAGAGAATCTCAATCATGAAGTGGAGAAAATTAGGAATCTCTACGACCATTCCAGTGAATATTATAAGGATGTAAATGGAAAGGAAGCAATTTGCCAGAGTGCTGGAAGTTGTATTTGAGTAAATTCCATTTGTTTTGTGTCACTGATTGATAAGGATACTTGGCAAATTAGCTAAGCAGACTTAGCAGATACCTGTTAGCAGATACAACCAAGCTAACACACTAATCCCAAAACTTACCCAGGTCCTAATCCTAACCCTAACCTTAACTTCAACCCAAAACCTAATTAGTCTCTTGATAATCTACTGAATCTATTCACTGATGCTACATCATTGATATGTTGTTGATGTTACTGAGAGTCTGTTGAGTGTTTATTCCATCTAAAAAAGGAAAATAAATTGTTACTGAGTTAACTAATTTCTAAGGGTTAAAGCACTTTGTTGTGGTTTTACTGGTTGTTAAAAGACTTTGCTTATCTAACAAAAGTGAACAGGAAGAGGCCGAGCTGTGAGAGCTGTGAATACACCCAGTACCACAGTGGAGATGTTCATTTCCTCCCCACAACCCTCAACTGCTTTGTCTTCATTTCTCTACAGCACCATCATAGGCACATTCGTACATAATCACTTTATGTCTATCAAACAAGTAAAAGTGTATTTCCAGCTGTTCATGTTTAAGAGTTTCTTTGATTTTTGCGTTGCACATGCAGTTCTAAATGTTCATCTTGAGAAATAAAACACAACCAAGGAATCAAGAATCAAACTCAAATAATATTCTATAATGTGACAGTATTTACGCAGTAAAGAAAGGTTTAAAGCCAGAACTTTAGTTCATACAAATGTAATTACATTCACTTTATTACACATAATTACATAAGAGAAAATATGCCATCGTTATACACTTGTGTAATTACATGAGTAAAAACTGACACTGATACGTATGTGTATTTACATATGCTTTACTGCTCTAATCCATCTATCAGTGAATATGCATGCATTGTTAATGCGTAACTACACAGTTATTAGTGACAACTAAAGTGGGAACAGAGAATGTGCTGAAATGTGGGCAAAATGTGCAAAACATGCAGCTCAGGAGGACTTAGGGGTCAAGGCTAAATCTGCTGTAAGCAATATGTAGATGAAATAAGAACCAATCAGTATGAGTACAGTAAGACTATAGACTATATAACACAGCACGATACCTAACAAACTGTAGGGATTCCAATGGGCACTTAATAGAAATGAAGCAACATCAGAAATGTCAGGTATGGAAGACCACTTGGGAAAAAAGGGCCATGTAGAACATCACAATAATGAGAAAGTTTCTCATAATTATGACTAAGTATCTCAACTATGACTTTATATCTTATAATTATGACATACTATCTCATAATTATGACTTACTATCCCATTATTATCACATAGTATCTCAGTTATGACTTACTATCTCATAATTATCACATAGTATCTCAATTATGACTTAGTCTCTCATAATTATGACTTAGTATCTCAATTATGACTTACTACCTCATATTTTTGACTTAGTATCTCAATTATGGCTTACTATCATAATTATGACATAGTATCTTCATTATGACTTAGAATCTCGTAATTATGACACTATCTCAATTATGACTTACTATCTCATAATTATGACATAGTATCTGATAATTATGATGTAGTATCTCAATTATGACTTACTATCTCATAATTATGATGTAGTATCTCCATTATGACTCACTCTCTCATAATTATGACTTAGTATCTCAATTATGACTTACTACCTCATAATTATGACATAGTCTCTCAATGTAACATACTAGCTCATAATTATAGCTTTTTTCCCAATTATGACTGTCTCATAGTTCTGACTTAATAGCTCACAGTTATAACTTATATTATAGTTGCAAGGTAGTATCTCTTAGGGTTGGTGGGTCATGATTATGATTATGATTATGAAGTCATGATTATGACTTTCTATTTCATAGTTACGACTCAGTGTCTCTATGTTCATAGTTCATAGTTATCATTGATTATCTCATAGTTATGACTTATAATGATGGCTTACATCTTCAGTTATAAGCTACATACTATATTAGTATCTGTATTAATATAATCATATTACTTTGTCGTTTTTCTTTTTTCCTAGAATGTGGATCCATTACATCAGATGGTACAAAGTAGTGCTGTCAGGGATACTGCTTAAGATTTTTTTTAATTTGTAAAAAGAGATCAACAATATCCTACAATGACATCACTGCCACATCACCATTATGTTATTAGCTGTTTTAAAGTCATGGAAGCAGAAATGCAACTGAATTAGGCCTTAC